CTGACCTCATTTCGTTTGAGGTCATACGCCACTAGGAAGGTGGCGTATGAGGTCGTGTAGGGTACGTCAACTACTTTCCAACCGTCTCGTTTGTAACTCCCTGAAGGTTACTGGATCAGTACGTTTTCATTCTCAAGCTTGCTGCATATAAAACTCTTATTCAGTAGACCCACATTGAGATTATGATGTTTAAAAGTGGGAATTTTCATCAATGATCAAAGATGTGATTTTGATGGTTTAGTAGACGCACTGGTAAACGAAATGATGATCGGATGGGCCTTGAAAGGATGAAGTCGGGCTGCAAGATGCGAATAAGTGGTGATAACTTTTAAAAGAGACCAGGTTAGCCTAATACCTTAGCTCTAAAGGGGGATGGAGCAGAAGAAATTATTACGTGATTTGTAGTCATTGACCTGATACTATCCTGAAAGCAAATAAAAATTGCAGATTGACGTGTCCTTGCTACTTCACCGCGATTTAGTATTCCTTATCCAGTTATACGTGAAAAATCAGTCAAACGCATTATCCTTGACCGACTATCACTTGTTTTAAATCATAAGTTTCGGGATGGTTTTGTTTGATATTTTCTGCTTCCCCGCTATTTTGTGTAAACTAATAGAAATACTTAGTGTCGTTTTCCGGTAACCGTCAATTAAAGTCTCAAGTAGCCAAGATGGGTTTTCAATTTTCGTATGGTATGTCAAATACGTAGACTCAAAAGTCCGTAAATATTGAGGTCTCGTCAATGCCGCCTTTTACTGAACTGAAATAATTTCCAGGACAAATAAAAGGATATCTGTACTTCAATAGAAAGTAATGTAAATAACGCTACGTATAATTAGCCTCATAAGTGCTGTTTAATACCATGCACTAAAAAAGTACCACTTTTCCACATTGCTTGCTTAAATATTGAATTCTTCTACTGTGAATTTGTTTTTTCATTCTGAACCTTTTAACCTTAATTGCCTGATTGAATGCTTGAACAGCATGGTGGATTTGAAGTTTTCACAAGTATTGGCGCAAAGAGTGCCCTCGTAGGAGGACTATATTCAGATTAGTAAAATCACGCATTTTACTAAAGTAAGTCTCCACTTATGATCTACGAAAGCATGTTGCAGTGACAAAAAGCGCTTAAATAGACGGTGAGTCCCTCTCCAATATAACGATATTTTAATTCCGCACACCTAGTTTCTCAGTTCCACATAATTTTAATGAATCACGAAATGCTAGGCTATCACAGGATGTAAAGTATTTGCTAATATAATTCTGTCGAAGGTCCATTTATCACGGCTCTAAGGCAATATATTGACTGTTCAACCTATCGTCTATTCAAAAGCTGTTCGCAATTAAATGTTTTTTAGCTTAAAAAAATGAAAAACCCGACTGTTTAGGTAGATTGACACTAGTACAATCATGCTCAGGTAAAGATCGGTGAAACCAGGATAAGTGTTGCCTTGGTAAGTACGACGACTCTATAACGAAATAAGCATCGGCAACTACTTGTCTTTATTCAGAGTTGATGGAAATTTAAAGGGAATTTTCACAAAGGTCAAATAGGTATTACAATCTACCGAACAATTTGTACTCTCTGTACCCGCGCATTATCTCAAGGCCTCCGTCCGGGTGAAAAAAAAAACAAGCCAAAGGCGACGCCGAAGCGACTGCGCCATGAACCGACGCCCTAATTGGTAGAATTTTCGCTTCATATCCAGACATTCCCATCTCCCAAAGGCATAAAATGCCTTTCCGTCTCGGCCCAGGGATGAAACCAAGTCAGCCTAATACAACTATGCAAACCCTGCGCACCTTTTACAAAACCCAGACGGCCAAATACATTTCATTTACTTTTATGAGTATTGCGGCAAGAAACTAGCCTCAACCATAACTGAACTAAGTAAATCCCACTTGATTTTCAGTGGCAGCAATAGTTGGAGTAGCCCGGGTGCTAATAGTTTCATACTTTGACACTGCACAGCGGAAAGCTTATCAATGGAAAGAATTAAGTTGTAGGTTGGAGGAACCCAGCACCAAACCGCCTAATGGACGTCTAAATAGCCAAAGATATGAGAACCATTTGAAAGGCGATTTAAAAACGCATGATTGTACTTATGTCTCCACAACAAAAATGTTCACACAAAGGTGTACTATTTCGCCTGGTCGCAGTCAGACACACAGGAACAGTAAAGTGGGTAGACAGGCGGAAGCGGAGGTAATGAAGTGTGAGGCTGTTGGAGCATAGAAAAGAAGAGAAACAAAGGAGTGGTCGGACGAAGAAACGAGTTCAGGGAGGTGGTGAGAGAGAAAGTGAGGGTAAAGAGGAGGAATTTTTCTTAGTGAGGGATGAGATGGGTGAACAAATCGCCGGTGCTGAACCGAAGGGGTGGCATCTCCACAGGAAGGCGGCAACTGCTGCTACAGTGGCGGTGGCATCGGCGCCAGTAGACACTGACGACTTCAATGAGATGGGAAGGGAGTTCATTCGGGGCAGGGAGTTCTCCGATTCAATGCTGTGTAGATTCGCGTTGTGCAGCGCCTCACAGCTCGCTGCGTCTCGTTCCGTGTGGTATTGCACCTTAAGGAAATGGGAATATAGGACAAAAAATGTTGACGAAGATGCTTTGAATGAACACGACCGACGCTGTTTCGCAGGAAAAACACAAAGACAAGAAACCACTTTAACCATAGCTTTGGAGTAAGATCCTACAATTGATGTGTTAGGACAACAGAGAGTAAGACCTTAAAAGGCAATCGCTTTTAAAATGCACACAAACGACGAATTTTACGCATTTTTTTTTCAAAAAAATTCATCACAATTTTCCACAAATTTCAGATTCCCTCTGGATGTAGGACAACACTTCAGAGATTATCAGAAAATCGAAATACAAAGGTTGTGAAAAGAGTTGAAATTACCTTGCTTTTAATGATGCTTCCGTGAGGAGATGAATTTTAAAGGAAGAATGTTGTTGCATTCAATAAATTTTGCCGGTACAAAACTCTGAGATCAGCTAGAACAGGAGCAGCCACTCAAGTACATCTAGCCCCAAACCTCTAGCCTTTTATCCTAGAGTGCAATAAATCATCGCAGTTGCGCCAAATTAATCACGTGAGCAGTCACATTTCGGACTGCAGTCGAGACTAGGATCCCGAGTCGTAGTAATGCGTCCACTTTGTACTTAATTGATCAAGGACTTAAAAAAGGTCCTATAGCTCCTATTCTCCTGCTTTACTTAATATTCGTCCACAATTGATACTCTTGAAACTAAAAAGATAATGAAGCTCTTTCAAAACCCGTTTTTTGACGCCAAACATTTGATTGACCAATTATTGTTAATTTCTCTACCCTATAAATCTCAAGATATGCTTTCATTGTTTTGCACAGAAAAGTGTGACAATTTGCGCAATACATTTCGGTCCGCATGACATTGAAGCTATTGAATGCGACCTAGCAAACTTGGGAAGTTATCACCGGAAAGAGAACGACAAAAAAGGAAATAAGGGAAGTTTGGACCATTACCTGTGGTTCGACGGTGACACGCACACTATGCACACGAGTATGGCGAAGAGGAGCACGATGAGTGTTCTCACTGGAGGACTCGGAGACCAAGGCAGGGGTACACCGCTGTGACGCTGTCCTCCCAGACAGCAGTGGCGAATGGGACAACGGGAGTGGTGACGATCCTGCTATAATCGCTGATGGTGTCGTTGACCTAGAGGACATAATGACGCCCTCGTGGTTCAACTCCAGCGTTTTTGCCAGCACACCAACACGATGATAACCATGGAGACGATGATGACGACTCATCACTGCTGTCGTGGCTGTTCCTATGGCCGTTGCTGACGTCGATGCCTCGTACAAGCATCGTGGTCTAGGATTTAAGCGATGCTTGGACTCCCAGTGGTGTTGATAGTTTTTTAGGCTACCAAGAAAGGAGGTATAGTGGCGATAACGGAGCTGTTGATGTTCGCTCATGGGTGAGGAAAGAAGACGTGTTGCTAAGAGACGGGCCACTCGACGAAGTGGATGCAAAGAGGTCCTGCAGAGAGCAATAGACAATAAAAAGTCAGTGCCGGTTAAGTACTTCAACGGCTTTTGAAAGGTTTTACGAAGTTTGAAAAGCAGTGACAGTTATTAATTTGTATTAATATATATAACAACGAGGACTTAAGGATTTTACTTACAAATAGTAAGATTGTCAACTTAATTCAACCGCCCCAAATGTGACGAAGATCTCGGACAATCGCTAAATCTCATCAAGCAAGAAACAAAGGATGTCGTTATTTGATTTGAACAACTTAATCATCATACGACGGTCAGGGTCGAATGTATCGAAGCTAATTCGTTCCCCCAGTCCATCGCCCCCATATTTAAAAAAATAAGCGCTGTGCCGCGATAAAACCCTCATCCTTTTTTCTCACTACCAGTTGGGGAAGGGTGGTTTAATCATGTAAAAATTAAAGTATCAAATTTTAAATATATAAGCGCGTAACAGTCCGTCTAGACTACATTCTACACCAAGTAGGAAACTCGATCTCCAGATAGCAGGAAGGACAGTACGACTTCATCTCTCCGTTTTCTGAACTAGCTTCACAGAGCCCTAAACTTAATATCTTTTAGATTCTTTAGACCTGTTCGAATAAAGGAATCCTGTTAGCAACCAAGACGTTTTATTCTAGTTCTTTATGGTCTACTGTCATTGGCTAAATATAGCATTCCTTGTCCCTAAAAACCTAATCATATTCTCGAGTGAAGGTAGCTTCTCTTGACACCTTTTTTACTAAACGGCACACCAGTCAGAATCGACAAAACAGCCCCTCTTTCCACTAGTCAAGGTGATTTAACCCAGAGTCTTAAAAAAACTAAAATGGTTAACAATCCCTTCAGTGAAAAGTGAAGTAGTCTCCACGTTTTTTGAGAACACATGCGTATTTTCTTAGGGTAGAATAATTCTCAATAGAATTGAAGTGACTGCAAATGTAACACATGGGTGGAGAATTCAGGTGGAAAAAATAACTGATTTTTAACGAATTCAAAAATATGGGGTTTTACCCCGTGGGTTTCCCACTAGCAGCAACTGTGGCTAAAGGATAGGCCGGAGGGGACGATTCCCGAGTCTGAACAAGCGGAGGCGACGGCGACGGGAAAGGGCACTGACACTGGCCCCCAAAGGCCTCCTTAACCTTTGGGGTGTTCACATCTACAAAGATGGGCAACTTACTGTTTGAGGAGCAAAGAATCGGTGCGGGTGAGACTCCACTGTTGGCACTCATCCTGTAGGCGAAATAAGGCAAAGAAATGAATTAATGAGCCAGAACGCTAATAATATCATTAGGCAACTAGTCTACTGGCTTTGATGTTAATTCATTACCCAATACAGCAACAGTACAAAAACTCAATTTGGTGGACAATCCTGACACCAAATGGAGTACTTTGGTTAAAAAGATGCCTAGGCTCAAATCGCACTTGACACATTGGTTTGAACTCGTCGACGACAATATTTGCAAAAAATGACCAACCGTAATTTGTTCGCGAAATGTGAAGACGTGGTTTTGTCAAGCTAAAAACAGCTTGGGTAGTTTGCGAGGTCTAGGAAAGAGTAGTGTTTCCAGTCAGGCTGCGATTTTAATGGGACAATCATACTTAGGACCAGGTAAAAGAACAAAACAGGAGTACACGCGTCCGCTATTGGTAATAACCACGTCCGCTTGATTAATGTAGCAAAGGTTGGCAATGGGAAAAAAAGACGTGATTTCATCTAAAGCCTCTCAGCCTTTGCAGCTTCAGTGACCCATTGCCATCATGTTTAAAAAAATCTAACATAATTTTCAAAAAGGTACATCTTGCCTAAAAAAACTTGCTTCCGTCCAGATATAATGAGAGATGGACTATGCGTTTAACTTCACTCTCATCCCTTTGTTTAGCCACCATCGCATTACGGGAGGTCAACGGTTGGAAAATTACGCTGATTTTGGAAAATGCTAATAAAATACCATCTATTCATTTATGAATTCATTTCAACATACTGAGATATTTAAAATACCAGCAAAATATTTGTATCCCCCGTTGTATAAGTTTACTAGGAATTCAAAGCCCCAGACACTAGAACGCTTCTTCATTTACACCTTTTATCCATTGACCAATATGATGTGGGGACAAATTGTATGAACTTACAATCTTAGTAACACAAGCACCACCCCGGGACTCCAAAAATCCGGCCAGCAGGCACGTGCGTACGCGCCATAAGCTTTATGTACTCACAGTATCAACGTTAAAGTCTTCGTTTTCCCAAAGTCTTGTCTCTTGGTTACTCTGGTTGGGATGTTTATAGTGTTTGTGCTCACACAAATAAGCATCAGTTCATACCACACCAGTGTTTCATAAGATGGCTGACTACGGCCAGTTCTATGACCGGTTTAATGTTTTGTCTAATTTTCTTCCGACAACCCCTTGGTTAACTTAAATGACTTTTGGACGCTGAAAATAGACTAGCAGTGGCTAGGTTCCGTGCTTTTATCCAATAAGGCGTAGTGAGCATTCCAAAAAGAGTTATCTACCTCTTTATATGCACCGATATGATTCAGCTGCAAAGGAAAGGCCAAGGAAGGCCACGTCAGTCTATCAAAGGCTCACGGTTTAAGGCGTGGTCAACGACTGATTGGTCTGACATTTCACGTAACCAACTAAGCGAATTCTAAATAATCGTCAGTTAAAATAAATTAGTTATTCAAGGCTAGAACGAAGTATTTGAAATAACAATCCTGATGCTCAAAAAAGACACTGCGCATACGGATCATATAGGCAGCTAACACCTAAAATACACTTCAGTTCTCCCTGAAATTATCTCACAAAATGTCTACGATTTTTCGACAGTGGTCAGAACAGCGATTACTACTATTGCAGAACTATGCATGGTAATCCCTTATTTTTGTAGGAGATTCGAATTGCGCGAACGACGCGGCGAGTTTTGTTTCATATCCATTACAATAAGTCGCGCGATCAGCGAGAAAGCGCCACCGTTGAGAAAAAGTTACCGCGCTCACACAAATGAGTAGTAGTAAGTCGATTGAATGGAACTGTGAAAACAGCGAATTCAGAGGTCTATTTACAAACAATAACCATTGCAACTTACGCATGAGTCATGACGATAACGAACACTGACTCACGAAAAATTATCAAAAAACGCCCCCCTAAATACAAGTGTACTTTCCAGTACCTAAAGTACTATAGGGGATGACTTAAGTGTCAAAAATGAAAGGACATATAAGCGATTTTAAATACAAATCACTGATGACTTAGTCTCAAAGCGATTCCAGTAATTTCGCTCCGAAAATAACGATTAAAAAATGAACCGTAAAACCATGATGAAATGAGCGCATTTCTGCACAAATTTGTAAAATATTTTTAGAAGTAATTAAAGTTCCCTTGAGTTAATGGCCATTTGCAACTCCAGATCCCAAGACAATGGTCACACAAAACACGTAAAGAATAATGGCAGGCTTTAAAGGCTTCAAGGAAAATGACCATTAATTATCACTTTAAATAAGCATTTCCAAAGTTAGCAGCGGTCGTATTCGTTCTTCTAAAAAGAAATAAATCCCAGAGCTTAAGCTCCAAGGGAAATGCTAGTATCGAGTATGAAAAAGTAATAGGTACCCAAGCAGGTAACTTCTGAAAATGTTCAAAGAACCTGCAATCGCCGCACTAAGTTGAGCCAGTTGTGAAGCTATTTATACTTAACCATTCATTTTTAGTATTCGTTAAGGACCCCTATCAAACGCACGACTTCATTTGTCTTTTTGTAAACAAATCTATGACCATAGCGTATTTACATATTTCGAGTCTGTGGCATCAGTGTACCTTAGCGCCTAATTATAATCAATTTACGATCAGCAAGCGCAGCTAATATGAGCATGTTTCGTTGACGGTAGTAACTTACGCAGATAGCTAGGCAGGCATTCAGGCGTTTGAAAAGAAGCACAGATTTGCTTTAGGAAAAACGGACCAATGCAAAAGGGGACCAAACATCAAAAACAGGAGGACTAACTTGGCTGCTGAGGTGGACAGCGCGGGGTAAACGACGCTGCTTTTGGCACCAGGGAGGGCGCGTTGAGGCGGGTCAAAGAGGCCAGCGACCCCCTGCCGTCTGGGCTCCGTGGAGAAGTGAGGGCTCCAACCTGCAACTGGCTGATGCGGATACGCGGGTGGAGAAGCTGGCAGCGCCACAAAGGCCGCCCGTGGCATCATTGCTGTGGCCTGCATGAGAAAATTTTCCTAGATAAGCAGAGAGCGCGCATCAAACGGTAAGAGATCTGCGCTATTTTTACTAACCTGTTAAAGGTGACAATTACCAATTGGCAACACAGACTGCTGATGGACTTAAAATGATTTTTGTTTTAGTTATCACCATTGATTCAAATGAAACCTTTAACTTAATCAGAATTTTAAATAACCCATCATTTCACTCTCCTCTGCAAAGTAAGCAGCACTTTTGTACACCATTTGTTAGGGAGATATCACTGCTCTAAATAGCAACATCAAGGCACCCCAGCCACTTTGAATGTAGAAAAGTGATGTACAGTCGAAACAGGCATGCCTCTGTTGATGCCAGTTTATGCGATTATCTACGATCCAATGTCCTTGGAATTGTCACAGAAGAGGCAGTTAAAATGATGTTTGGCGCACCCTACACGACCTCTTCCGAAAGGAGGTCACTTTTTCAATGGCGCATGACCTCCGAACAAATGAGGTCACTCTTTTACTGTTTCGATAGGTTATCCCCTCTGGCTAATCTCCCAGCCTTAGTACTCGCCCAAATCATGCAAACTTCGATTGTAATGGACCTCTCATAATCACACCCGATGATTTTTTAAAACAACCTGTGGAGAAATTAGACTGTCACACTGATTTCCCACTTCTCCAGCACTAACATCACGGCTGGACATCCTGTAGGTTTGTGGGAGACAAGCAGCACAAATCGCTCCCTCCCACCAATTCGCATTTCCAAAAAGCATTGACAGTTGGCTAGCTGTACATCAGGCAACACGTTTCATTCAACTTCCAAAAGCATGGTTGAGTTTTTGGAGTAGAAGTCTAAAAAATTTACTGAATAGGGAGCTGGAGTAAGGTCTGCAGAAAAAATACCTATGTTGATGCCGTACTCACGAGAGGGTAGTAGTGGCTTACTGTTTCTAATTTCAATGAAACATTTTGCGATACTCCGATTTTTTCTCGAAAACGGTTTACTTTCGGAAGATAGTGAATTTGGAATTTATTCATACAATCGATTTGTGCTTTCTGACAACCAAACACCGGTTTTGTATATCAATTAGAGCGCGGAAGAAAAGAAATTCAAGAAAATTAAACCATCACAAGCGTTTTCACAAGCCAATAGACTAACCTAAAACGTCATATCACTAAATTTTGGAGCATACGCAGCACGTTATGATTTTAGAAACGATGCTATGGTCATGTATCCCGTTTAAACACACGCTTTGACAGTGATTTACTCTCCTTAAATGACGCCGAAAGGGTAGTGAGAAAGTACTTGGAGTTATTTTTTGTAATAACGACATCATTCAATGAATTACCGTTATGTCCTAGTTCTCCTCTAAATGCTTTTCCAAAATTACATCCAGCGCAACGGTGTGATATAAAATCCATTTTTTTTAAAAACCATCAATAAATCAAGACTTATTATCTGTGTAACATGCAGGGATCCTAGAAAGTCACGATTGGCTCCAGTCGATCGCTCTGTTGGAGCCATTTCATTATGAAATTGTTCTGGCTGGACGGAAGACCATTTACGAAGTGTTCAATCAGGAATTTCCAATAGAATGAGGGCATAAATATTATTCAAATATCACACTGACCCCTAAAACGCAAAACGCCAGTCAACAGACAACAGAGAATAACTGAAATCAGCGTTTTCAGCGTAATCTGAGTGAAAAAGCTAGTTACTCTGACAAGCATGACCTTTCTTTGAAAAAAAAACTTCCGCATTTCAAAAAACGAAATGGATAAGTCTAGAAAACCTCTAGAAAAAAGATGGCGAACTGTTCCAGTCCCTAAGACCACTGAGGGAGACGGAATGAAAAGAAAATTAAAGATATACCGAATTTGCACCCCCTCTGAAATGATAGTCTACAGACATCAACAATAAAAGCCAACTTCTCAATTAAAATTGCGTGATAAATCAGGCTGCTTTAGTATGAGAGTTACAGCCTCTCTTACTCGCAGAACTACAGTGAAAAAATTATTGTAATAATCTTTGTCGTTATTCCAATATCAATACGTAAATTTTTTTGGATTTAATCAGTGGTGATAGATGCAACGGTCTCGATTCAGATAGATTTTGGTAATTAACAATCTGGTCCCCAAGACTCACAAGCAGCTTCTCACCCCAGAGAATATAATTTACCTTAATGAAAGTTGAAACTCAAACCAGATAAGTCCCTTCAAAGAATTTGCATCGCATCAAAAACAGTGATTATGCTGTACACATTTCTATTTTGGGCGATAGTGTAGTTCTGCACTTCAAATTTATTAGTCCCAAGCCTTTAAAGGAACCACACCTTGAGGAAGTTAGGTACCTAAAAGACCGCCACAAAACAAACCTGTTCATATGAAGGCAAAGCGGTCTTCGTTCCCATGGGAATTTGGTTGAGGTCCATTGAGTGAGGGAGATGACAGAGGATCATAGCCGGAGGATGCGCCACAGGTGGTGTGTACATAAGGGCAGAAGGGAGAGTAGTACCACAGGTCGATGGGCTCATCTGTGGTGGTAGGAGCCTTTCTACTGGTACCTCTTTCTCCACTCTAACGCTCTTACCTCCACAGCAGGAGCAAAAACTAATGAAATTTCGACGACTTCTTCTCCCCATTGCCTCCTCCATTGATTCTCCCTCCTCATTTGCCTCGTCGAACTCCTCGGCAGGGAACCGTGTGCCCTTCTCCAAGACAGAGGGAGAAATAGCAGAAGTATGGAAGAGATCAGAGGGCACAGATCTTGCGGTAATGGAGGAGGAAGAGTTCTCCGACGCCGAACCGAGCACCCGTCGATCTCCAGAAGGTGCTAAGGCGTCATCGAGGGAGGAACTGGGCCGCCGAGCGTGTTGGAAGTCTCGATAGAAATGATGGTGGTGGTGGCGACGACGACGGCAGCTGAAGAGGACTAGAAGGGGACAGAAGAGACCCTCAAGAGGCACCGAGATAGAGGAAGCAGATGGAGAGGCGGAGGTGGCGGAGAGAGAGGAACCCGAGTCGACCTCACTAGTGGTGGCAGAACATGAGGTCACGTCCTCCTCGGCCAGAGATAGACCGCAGGCGATAAGAATGTTTTGCTTGCACAGAGGACAACTACGGTGCTTCAAAAGCCAGGGATCGATGCAGGCGCGATGATACATATGCCTTGAAGCAATCGACAAAAAGTGCACGCCGATTAGGCCAAATCAACTCGGAGAATGTCCAAAAATGAACTTTAGTTTTAGATTATTTTTAGGACGCTGTTTAATTTAGCTGCTTGCGAAAGACTTGCAAAGCAACGACAGATCACACAAACTACGGCGAGTCTATGCATAGAATTAATGGAACTAGGTGTAAGGAGTAAAAGTAGAGGCCTATATCAAGATAGATTCAAACATCCCTCACAGTTATTATCTTCGAAGACTGCAGAGATATAAAACATTTGACTGAATTTGGAAGTGAATTTCAACGATACCTGCAATTAAAGGAGAATAGAATTCAGACCCTTATGGTTGCAACGAGCTGGAATAGTCTTGCACAGCCAAACGGGATATACTATAAGATCTCCCATGGCGATTGCAATTGACTGGTAAAACCTGATTATCAACAGGAAATGCAGTTGAAACAGTTTTTGGGGCAAAACTAATTTATGTTTCTTCTGTTCGCCAGAGAGCGTTTCCGTACTAATCACAGCGCTTGACGCGAAACAGCGCGAAGTATTCAATTAGGACAGGTTAGGCGCGCATCAACATACAACAAATATTCAAATCTTTTTTTTTTTCTTTTAACCTTCCACCACAACAAGCAGACAAAACTTGTCAAGGGGTGATTGTGATCATCCCCCACATCTTCCGCTAAAACAACGGCAAGACTTCCTTGAAATAGTGGTCGATACCATGCAAGGGTCCTTCAAAAACAGCAAACGCTCATTTGCATCGGGAACCTTAGCATTCGGCTTCATGTTGAATCCTACTAAACAAGATAAAAATGTCGAATAACTGTAGGCGCATACCTAAAGGAAATTTGAAATACATCGTGAATACGGCAAAAAATTAAGCTAAAATATCATCACATATTATGATACCTTCATTATTTGCTTAACTTTTATTTTGGTTTCGCGAACACCAAGGACTCCGCCATTGTACTGCCACCCAGGTTATTTGGTATGCCTAGGGGAAACTGCGACGACTCCAAACGAAAGGCTTGAAAATGGCGTACATCATCGGCAACCACCCCGGTCTCGTATTCTGCAAGAATGCTATTAACAAATGAAGCGACACTGGCCGCGAAACATCCAGAAAAGTCGGCTACGGACCTGTCTACAGTGCCCATATAAAGATACCGATAAAGTGAACACGTGACGCCTCCACCTCTCTACTGGCTGGGTAGAACTCAGAGCGATATGGCTGGGCAAAACTGAAGTGAGAACTCTGACCTCATTTCGTTTGAGGTCATACGCCACTAGGAAGGTGGCGTATGAGGTCGTGTAGGGTACGTCAACTACTTTCCAACCGTCTCGTTTGTAACTCCCTGAAGGTTACTGGATCAGTACGTTTTCATTCTCAAGCTTGCTGCATATAAAACTCTTATTCAGTAGACCCACATTGAGATTATGATGTTTAAAAGTGGGAATTTTCATCAATGATCAAAGATGTGATTTTGATGGTTTAGTAGACGCACTGGTAAACGAAATGATGATCGGATGGGCCTTGAAAGGATGAAGTCGGGCTGCAAGATGCGAATAAGTGGTGATAACTTTTAAAAGAGACCAGGTTAGCCTAATACCTTAGCTCTAAAGGGGGATGGAGCAGAAGAAATTATTACGTGATTTGTAGTCATTGACCTGATACTATCCTGAAAGCAAATAAAAATTGCAGATTGACGTGTCCTTGCTACTTCACCGCGATTTAGTATTCCTTATCCAGTTATACGTGAAAAATCAGTCAAACGCATTATCCTTGACCGACTATCACTTGTTTTAAATCATAAGTTTCGGGATGGTTTTGTTTGATATTTTCTGCTTCCCCGCTATTTTGTGTAAACTAATAGAAATACTTAGTGTCGTTTTCCGGTAACCGTCAATTAAAGTCTCAAGTAGCCAAGATGGGTTTTCAATTTTCGTATGGTATGTCAAATACGTAGACTCAAAAGTCCGTAAATATTGAGGTCTCGTCAATGCCGCCTTTTACTGAACTGAAATAATTTCCAGGACAAATAAAAGGATATCTGTACTTCAATAGAAAGTAATGTAAATAACGCTACGTATAATTAGCCTCATAAGTGCTGTTTAATACCATGCACTAAAAAAGTACCACTTTTCCACATTGCTTGCTTAAATATTGAATTCTTCTACTGTGAATTTGTTTTTTCATTCTGAACCTTTTAACCTTAATTGCCTGATTGAATGCTTGAACAGCATGGTGGATTTGAAGTTTTCACAAGTATTGGCGCAAAGAGTGCCCTCGTAGGAGGACTATATTCAGATTAGTAAAATCACGCATTTTACTAAAGTAAGTCTCCACTTATGATCTACGAAAGCATGTTGCAGTGACAAAAAGCGCTTAAATAGACGGTGAGTCCCTCTCCAATATAACGATATTTTAATTCCGCACACCTAGTTTCTCAGTTCCACATAATTTTAATGAATCACGAAATGCTAGGCTATCACAGGATGTAAAGTATTTGCTAATATAATTCTGTCGAAGGTCCATTTATCACGGCTCTAAGGCAATATATTGACTGTTCAACCTATCGTCTATTCAAAAGCTGTTCGCAATTAAATGTTTTTTAGCTTAAAAAAATGAAAAACCCGACTGTTTAGGTAGATTGACACTAGTACAATCATGCTCAGGTAAAGATCGGTGAAACCAGGATAAGTGTTGCCTTGGTAAGTACGACGACTCTATAACGAAATAAGCATCGGCAACTACTTGTCTTTATTCAGAGTTGATGGAAATTTAAAGGGAATTTTCACAAAGGTCAAATAGGTATTACAATCTACCGAACAATTTGTACTCTCTGTACCCGCGCATTATCTCAAGGCCTCCGTCCGGGTGAAAAAAAAAACAAGCCAAAGGCGACGCCGAAGCGACTGCGCCATGAACCGACGCCCTAATTGGTAGAATTTTCGCTTCATATCCAGACATTCCCATCTCCCAAAGGCATAAAATGCCTTTCCGTCTCGGCCCAGGGATGAAACCAAGTCAGCCTAATACAACTATGCAAACCCTGCGCACCTTTTACAAAACCCAGACGGCCAAATACATTTCATTTACTTTTATGAGTATTGCGGCAAGAAACTAGCCTCAACCATAACTGAACTAAGTAAATCCCACTTGATTTTCAGTGGCAGCAATAGTTGGAGTAGCCCGGGTGCTAATAGTTTCATACTTTGACACTGCACAGCGGAAAGCTTATCAATGGAAAGAATTAAGTTGTAGGTTGGAGGAACCCAGCACCAAACCGCCTAATGGACGTCTAAATAGCCAAAGATATGAGAACCATTTGAAAGGCGATTTAAAAACGCATGATTGTACTTATGTCTCCACAACAAAAATGTTCACACAAAGGTGTACTATTTCGCCTGGTCGCAGTCAGACACACAGGAACAGTAAAGTGGGTAGACAGGCGGAAGCGGAGGTAATGAAGTGTGAGGCTGTTGGAGCATAGAAAAGAAGAGAAACAAAGGAGTGGTCGGACGAAGAAACGAGTTCAGGGAGGTGGTGAGAGAGAAAGTGAGGGTAAAGAGGAGGAATTTTTCTTAGTGAGGGATGAGATGGGTGAACAAATCGCCGGTGCTGAACCGAAGGGGTGGCATCTCCACAGGAAGGCGGCAACTGCTGCTACAGTGGCGGTGGCATCGGCGCCAGTAGACACTGACGACTTCAATGAGATGGGAAGGGAGTTCATTCGGGGCAGGGAGTTCTCCGATTCAATGCTGTGTAGATTCGCGTTGTGCAGCGCCTCACAGCTCGCTGCGTCTCGTTCCGTGTGGTATTGCACCTTAAGGAAATGGGAATATAGGACAAAAAATGTTGACGAAGATGCTTTGAATGAACACGACCGACGCTGTTTCGCAGGAAAAACACAAAGACAAGAAACCACTTTAACCATAGCTTTGGAGTAAGATCCTACAATTGATGTGTTAGGACAACAGAGAGTAAGACCTTAAAAGGCAATCGCTTTTAAAATGCACACAAACGACGAATTTTACGCATTTTTTTTTCAAAAAAATTCATCACAATTTTCCACAAATTTCAGATTCCCTCTGGATGTAGGACAACACTTCAGAGATTATCAGAAAATCGAAATACAAAGGTTGTGAAAAGAGTTGAAATTACCTTGCTTTTAATGATGCTTCCGTGAGGAGATGAATTTTAAAGGAAGAATGTTGTTGCATTCAATAAATTTTGCCGGTACAAAACTCTGAGATCAGCTAGAACAGGAGCAGCCACTCAAGTACATCTAGCCCCAAACCTCTAGCCTTTTATCCTAGAGTGCAATAAATCATCGCAGTTGCGCCAAATTAATCACGTGAGCAGTCACATTTCGGACTGCAGTCGAGACTAGGATCCCGAGTCGTAGTAATGCGTCCACTTTGTACTTAATTGATCAAGGACTTAAAAAAGGTCCTATAGCTCCTATTCTCCTGCTTTACTTAATATTCGTCCACAATTGATACTCTTGAAACTAAAAAGATAATGAAGCTCTTTCAAAACCCGTTTTTTGACGCCAAACATTTGATTGACCAATTATTGTTAATTTCTCTACCCTATAAATCTCAAGATATGCTTTCATTGTTTTGCACAGAAAAGTGTGACAATTTGCGCAATACATTTCGGTCCGCATGACATTGAAGCTATTGAATGCGACCTAGCAAACTTGGGAAGTTATCACCGGAAAGAGAACGACAAAAAAGGAAATAAGGGAAGTTTGGACCATTACCTGTGGTTCGACGGTGACACGCACACTATGCACACGAGTATGGCGAAGAGGAGCACGATGAGTGTTCTCACTGGAGGACTCGGAGACCAAGGCAGGGGTACACCGCTGTGACGCTGTCCTCCCAGACAGCAGTGGCGAATGGGACAACGGGAGTGGTGACGATCCTGCTATAATCGCTGATGGTGTCGTTGACCTAGAGGACATAATGACGCCCTCGTGGTTCAACTCCAGCGTTTTTGCCAGCACACCAACACGATGATAACCATGGAGACGATGATGACGACTCATCACTGCTGTCGTGGCTGTTCCTATGGCCGTTGCTGACGTCGATGCCTCGTACAAGCATCGTGGTCTAGGATTTAAGCGATGCTTGGACTCCCAGTGGTGTTGATAGTTTTTTAGGCTACCAAGAAAGGAGGTATAGTGGCGATAACGGAGCTGTTGATGTTCGCTCATGGGTGAGGAAAGAAGACGTGTTGCTAAGAGACGGGCCACTCGACGAAGTGGATGCAAAGAGGTCCTGCAGAGAGCAATAGACAATAAAAAGTCAGTGCCGGTTAAGTACTTCAACGGCTTTTGAAAGGTTTTACGAAGTTTGAAAAGCAGTGACAGTTATTAATTTGTATTAATATATATAACAACGAGGACTTAAGGATTTTACTTACAAATAGTAAGATTGTCAACTTAATTCAACCGCCCCAAATGTGACGAAGATCTCGGACAATCGCTAAATCTCATCAAGCAAGAAACAAAGGATGTCGTTATTTGATTTGAACAACTTAATCATCATACGACGGTCAGGGTCGAATGTATCGAAGCTAATTCGTTCCCCCAGTCCATCGCCCCCATATTTAAAAAAATAAGCGCTGTGCCGCGATAAAACCCTCATCCTTTTTTCTCACTACCAGTTGGGGAAGGGTGGTTTAATCATGTAAAAATTAAAGTATCAAATTTTAAATATATAAGCGCGTAACAGTCCGTCTAGACTACATTCTACACCAAGTAGGAAACTCGATCTCCAGATAGCAGGAAGGACAGTACGACTTCATCTCTCCGTTTTCTGAACTAGCTTCACAGAGCCCTAAACTTAATATCTTTTAGATTCTTTAGACCTGTTCGAATAAAGGAATCCTGTTAGCAACCAAGACGTTTTATTCTAGTTCTTTATGGTCTACTGTCATTGGCTAAATATAGCATTCCTTGTCCCTAAAAACCTAATCATATTCTCGAGTGAAGGTAGCTTCTCTTGACACCTTTTTTACTAAACGGCACACCAGTCAGAATCGACAAAACAGCCCCTCTTTCCACTAGTCAAGGTGATTTAACCCAGAGTCTTAAAAAAACTAAAATGGTTAACAATCCCTTCAGTGAAAAGTGAAGTAGTCTCCACGTTTTTTGAGAACACATGCGTATTTTCTTAGGGTAGAATAATTCTCAATAGAATTGAAGTGACTGCAAATGTAACACATGGGTGGAGAATTCAGGTGGAAAAAATAACTGATTTTTAACGAATTCAAAAATATGGGGTTTTACCCCGTGGGTTTCCCACTAGCAGCAACTGTGGCTAAAGGATAGGCCGGAGGGGACGATTCCCGAGTCTGAACAAGCGGAGGCGACGGCGACGGGAAAGGGCACTGACACTGGCCCCCAAAGGCCTCCTTAACCTTTGGGGTGTTCACATCTACAAAGATGGGCAACTTACTGTTTGAGGAGCAAAGAATCGGTGCGGGTGAGACTCCACTGTTGGCACTCATCCTGTAGGCGAAATAAGGCAAAGAAATGAATTAATGAGCCAGAACGCTAATAATATCATTAGGCAACTAGTCTACTGGCTTTGATGTTAATTCATTACCCAATACAGCAACAGTACAAAAACTCAATTTGGTGGACAATCCTGACACCAAATGGAGTACTTTGGTTAAAAAGATGCCTAGGCTCAAATCGCACTTGACACATTGGTTTGAACTCGTCGACGACAATATTTGCAAAAAATGACCAACCGTAATTTGTTCGCGAAATGTGAAGACGTGGTTTTGTCAAGCTAAAAACAGCTTGGGTAGTTTGCGAGGTCTAGGAAAGAGTAGTGTTTCCAGTCAGGCTGCGATTTTAATGGGACAATCATACTTAGGACCAGGTAAAAGAACAAAACAGGAGTACACGCGTCCGCTATTGGTAATAACCACGTCCGCTTGATTAATGTAGCAAAGGTTGGCAATGGGAAAAAAAGACGTGATTTCATCTAAAGCCTCTCAGCCTTTGCAGCTTCAGTGACCCATTGCCATCATGTTTAAAAAAATCTAACATAATTTTCAAAAAGGTACATCTTGCCTAAAAAAACTTGCTTCCGTCCAGATATAATGAGAGATGGACTATGCGTTTAACTTCACTCTCATCCCTTTGTTTAGCCACCATCGCATTACGGGAGGTCAACGGTTGGAAAATTACGCTGATTTTGGAAAATGCTAATAAAATACCATCTATTCATTTATGAATTCATTTCAACATACTGAGATATTTAAAATACCAGCAAAATATTTGTATCCCCCGTTGTATAAGTTTACTAGGAATTCAAAGCCCCAGACACTAGAACGCTTCTTCATTTACACCTTTTATCCATTGACCAATATGATGTGGGGACAAATTGTATGAACTTACAATCTTAGTAACACAAGCACCACCCCGGGACTCCAAAAATCCGGCCAGCAGGCACGTGCGTACGCGCCATAAGCTTTATGTACTCACAGTATCAACGTTAAAGTCTTCGTTTTCCCAAAGTCTTGTCTCTTGGTTACTCTGGTTGGGATGTTTATAGTGTTTGTGCTCACACAAATAAGCATCAGTTCATACCACACCAGTGTTTCATAAGATGGCTGACTACGGCCAGTTCTATGACCGGTTTAATGTTTTGTCTAATTTTCTTCCGACAACCCCTTGGTTAACTTAAATGACTTTTGGACGCTGAAAATAGACTAGCAGTGGCTAGGTTCCGTGCTTTTATCCAATAAGGCGTAGTGAGCATTCCAAAAAGAGTTATCTACCTCTTTATATGCACCGATATGATTCAGCTGCAAAGGAAAGGCCAAGGAAGGCCACGTCAGTCTATCAAAGGCTCACGGTTTAAGGCGTGGTCAACGACTGATTGGTCTGACATTTCACGTAACCAACTAAGCGAATTCTAAATAATCGTCAGTTAAAATAAATTAGTTATTCAAGGCTAGAACGAAGTATTTGAAATAACAATCCTGATGCTCAAAAAAGACACTGCGCATACGGATCATATAGGCAGCTAACACCTAAAATACACTTCAGTTCTCCCTGAAATTATCTCACAAAATGTCTACGATTTTTCGACAGTGGTCAGAACAGCGATTACTACTATTGCAGAACTATGCATGGTAATCCCTTATTTTTGTAGGAGATTCGAATTGCGCGAACGACGCGGCGAGTTTTGTTTCATATCCATTACAATAAGTCGCGCGATCAGCGAGAAAGCGCCACCGTTGAGAAAAAGTTACCGCGCTCACACAAATGAGTAGTAGTAAGTCGATTGAATGGAACTGTGAAAACAGCGAATTCAGAGGTCTATTTACAAACAATAACCATTGCAACTTACGCATGAGTCATGACGATAACGAACACTGACTCACGAAAAATTATCAAAAAACGCCCCCCTAAATACAAGTGTACTTTCCAGTACCTAAAGTACTATAGGGGATGACTTAAGTGTCAAAAATGAAAGGACATATAAGCGATTTTAAATACAAATCACTGATGACTTAGTCTCAAAGCGATTCCAGTAATTTCGCTCCGAAAATAACGATTAAAAAATGAACCGTAAAACCATGATGAAATGAGCGCATTTCTGCACAAATTTGTAAAATATTTTTAGAAGTAATTAAAGTTCCCTTGAGTTAATGGCCATTTGCAACTCCAGATCCCAAGACAATGGTCACACAAAACACGTAAAGAATAATGGCAGGCTTTAAAGGCTTCAAGGAAAATGACCATTAATTATCACTTTAAATAAGCATTTCCAAAGTTAGCAGCGGTCGTATTCGTTCTTCTAAAAAGAAATAAATCCCAGAGCTTAAGCTCCAAGGGAAATGCTAGTATCGAGTATGAAAAAGTAATAGGTACCCAAGCAGGTAACTTCTGAAAATGTTCAAAGAACCTGCAATCGCCGCACTAAGTTGAGCCAGTTGTGAAGCTATTTATACTTAACCATTCATTTTTAGTATTCGTTAAGGACCCCTATCAAACGCACGACTTCATTTGTCTTTTTGTAAACAAATCTATGACCATAGCGTATTTACATATTTCGAGTCTGTGGCATCAGTGTACCTTAGCGCCTAATTATAATCAATTTACGATCAGCAAGCGCAGCTAATATGAGCATGTTTCGTTGACGGTAGTAACTTACGCAGATAGCTAGGCAGGCATTCAGGCGTTTGAAAAGAAGCACAGATTTGCTTTAGGAAAAACGGACCAATGCAAAAGGGGACCAAACATCAAAAACAGGAGGACTAACTTGGCTGCTGAGGTGGACAGCGCGGGGTAAACGACGCTGCTTTTGGCACCAGGGAGGGCGCGTTGAGGCGGGTCAAAGAGGCCAGCGACCCCCTGCCGTCTGGGCTCCGTGGAGAAGTGAGGGCTCCAACCTGCAACTGGCTGATGCGGATACGCGGGTGGAGAAGCTGGCAGCGCCACAAAGGCCGCCCGTGGCATCATTGCTGTGGCCTGCATGAGAAAATTTTCCTAGATAAGCAGAGAGCGCGCATCAAACGGTAAGAGATCTGCGCTATTTTTACTAACCTGTTAAAGGTGACAATTACCAATTGGCAACACAGACTGCTGATGGACTTAAAATGATTTTTGTTTTAGTTATCACCATTGATTCAAATGAAACCTTTAACTTAATCAGAATTTTAAATAACCCATCATTTCACTCTCCTCTGCAAAGTAAGCAGCACTTTTGTACACCATTTGTTAGGGAGATATCACTGCTCTAAATAGCAACATCAAGGCACCCCAGCCACTTTGAATGTAGAAAAGTGATGTACAGTCGAAACAGGCATGCCTCTGTTGATGCCAGTTTATGCGATTATCTACGATCCAATGTCCTTGGAATTGTCACAGAAGAGGCAGTTAAAATGATGTTTGGCGCACCCTACACGACCTCTTCCGAAAGGAGGTCACTTTTTCAATGGCGCATGACCTCCGAACAAATGAGGTCACTCTTTTACTGTTTCGATAGGTTATCCCCTCTGGCTAATCTCCCAGCCTTAGTACTCGCCCAAATCATGCAAACTTCGATTGTAATGGACCTCTCATAATCACACCCGATGATTTTTTAAAACAACCTGTGGAGAAATTAGACTGTCACACTGATTTCCCACTTCTCCAGCACTAACATCACGGCTGGACATCCTGTAGGTTTGTGGGAGACAAGCAGCACAAATCGCTCCCTCCCACCAATTCGCATTTCCAAAAAGCATTGACAGTTGGCTAGCTGTACATCAGGCAACACGTTTCATTCAACTTCCAAAAGCATGGTTGAGTTTTTGGAGTAGAAGTCTAAAAAATTTACTGAATAGGGAGCTGGAGTAAGGTCTGCAGAAAAAATACCTATGTTGATGCCGTACTCACGAGAGGGTAGTAGTGGCTTACTGTTTCTAATTTCAATGAAACATTTTGCGATACTCCGATTTTTTCTCGAAAACGGTTTACTTTCGGAAGATAGTGAATTTGGAATTTATTCATACAATCGATTTGTGCTTTCTGACAACCAAACACCGGTTTTGTATATCAATTAGAGCGCGGAAGAAAAGAAATTCAAGAAAATTAAACCATCACAAGCGTTTTCACAAGCCAATAGACTAACCTAAAACGTCATATCACTAAATTTTGGAGCATACGCAGCACGTTATGATTTTAGAAACGATGCTATGGTCATGTATCCCGTTTAAACACACGCTTTGACAGTGATTTACTCTCCTTAAATGACGCCGAAAGGGTAGTGAGAAAGTACTTGGAGTTATTTTTTGTAATAACGACATCATTCAATGAATTACCGTTATGTCCTAGTTCTCCTCTAAATGCTTTTCCAAAATTACATCCAGCGCAACGGTGTGATATAAAATCCATTTTTTTTAAAAACCATCAATAAATCAAGACTTATTATCTGTGTAACATGCAGGGATCCTAGAAAGTCACGATTGGCTCCAGTCGATCGCTCTGTTGGAGCCATTTCATTATGAAATTGTTCTGGCTGGACGGAAGACCATTTACGAAGTGTTCAATCAGGAATTTCCAATAGAATGAGGGCATAAATATTATTCAAATATCACACTGACCCCTAAAACGCAAAACGCCAGTCAACAGACAACAGAGAATAACTGAAATCAGCGTTTTCAGCGTAATCTGAGTGAAAAAGCTAGTTACTCTGACAAGCATGACCTTTCTTTGAAAAAAAAACTTCCGCATTTCAAAAAACGAAATGGATAAGTCTAGAAAACCTCTAGAAAAAAGATGGCGAACTGTTCCAGTCCCTAAGACCACTGAGGGAGACGGAATGAAAAGAAAATTAAAGATATACCGAATTTGCACCCCCTCTGAAATGATAGTCTACAGACATCAACAATAAAAGCCAACTTCTCAATTAAAATTGCGTGATAAATCAGGCTGCTTTAGTATGAGAGTTACAGCCTCTCTTACTCGCAGAACTACAGTGAAAAAATTATTGTAATAATCTTTGTCGTTATTCCAATATCAATACGTAAATTTTTTTGGATTTAATCAGTGGTGATAGATGCAACGGTCTCGATTCAGATAGATTTTGGTAATTAACAATCTGGTCCCCAAGACTCACAAGCAGCTTCTCACCCCAGAGAATATAATTTACCTTAATGAAAGTTGAAACTCAAACCAGATAAGTCCCTTCAAAGAATTTGCATCGCATCAAAAACAGTGATTATGCTGTACACATTTCTATTTTGGGCGATAGTGTAGTTCTGCACTTCAAATTTATTAGTCCCAAGCCTTTAAAGGAACCACACCTTGAGGAAGTTAGGTACCTAAAAGACCGCCACAAAACAAACCTGTTCATATGAAGGCAAAGCGGTCTTCGTTCCCATGGGAATTTGGTTGAGGTCCATTGAGTGAGGGAGATGACAGAGGATCATAGCCGGAGGATGCGCCACAGGTGGTGTGTACATAAGGGCAGAAGGGAGAGTAGTACCACAGGTCGATGGGCTCATCTGTGGTGGTAGGAGCCTTTCTACTGGTACCTCTTTCTCCACTCTAACGCTCTTACCTCCACAGCAGGAGCAAAAACTAATGAAATTTCGACGACTTCTTCTCCCCATTGCCTCCTCCATTGATTCTCCCTCCTCATTTGCCTCGTCGAACTCCTCGGCAGGGAACCGTGTGCCCTTCTCCAAGACAGAGGGAGAAATAGCAGAAGTATGGAAGAGATCAGAGGGCACAGATCTTGCGGTAATGGAGGAGGAAGAGTTCTCCGACGCCGAACCGAGCACCCGTCGATCTCCAGAAGGTGCTAAGGCGTCATCGAGGGAGGAACTGGGCCGCCGAGCGTGTTGGAAGTCTCGATAGAAATGATGGTGGTGGTGGCGACGACGACGGCAGCTGAAGAGGACTAGAAGGGGACAGAAGAGACCCTCAAGAGGCACCGAGATAGAGGAAGCAGATGGAGAGGCGGAGGTGGCGGAGAGAGAGGAACCCGAGTCGACCTCACTAGTGGTGGCAGAACATGAGGTCACGTCCTCCTCGGCCAGAGATAGACCGCAGGCGATAAGAATGTTTTGCTTGCACAGAGGACAACTACGGTGCTTCAAAAGCCAGGGATCGATGCAGGCGCGATGATACATATGCCTTGAAGCAATCGACAAAAAGTGCACGCCGATTAGGCCAAATCAACTCGGAGAATGTCCAAAAATGAACTTTAGTTTTAGATTATTTTTAGGACGCTGTTTAATTTAGCTGCTTGCGAAAGACTTGCAAAGCAACGACAGATCACACAAACTACGGCGAGTCTATGCATAGAATTAATGGAACTAGGTGTAAGGAGTAAAAGTAGAGGCCTATATCAAGATAGATTCAAACATCCCTCACAGTTATTATCTTCGAAGACTGCAGAGATATAAAACATTTGACTGAATTTGGAAGTGAATTTCAACGATACCTGCAATTAAAGGAGAATAGAATTCAGACCCTTATGGTTGCAACGAGCTGGAATAGTCTTGCACAGCCAAACGGGATATACTATAAGATCTCCCATGGCGATTGCAATTGACTGGTAAAACCTGATTATCAACAGGAAATGCAGTTGAAACAGTTTTTGGGGCAAAACTAATTTATGTTTCTTCTGTTCGCCAGAGAGCGTTTCCGTACTAATCACAGCGCTTGACGCGAAACAGCGCGAAGTATTCAATTAGGACAGGTTAGGCGCGCATCAACATACAACAAATATTCAAATCTTTTTTTTTTTCTTTTAACCTTCCACCACAACAAGCAGACAAAACTTGTCAAGGGGTGATTGTGATCATCCCCCACATCTTCCGCTAAAACAACGGCAAGACTTCCTTGAAATAGTGGTCGATACCATGCAAGGGTCCTTCAAAAACAGCAAACGCTCATTTGCATCGGGAACCTTAGCATTCGGCTTCATGTTGAATCCTACTAAACAAGATAAAAATGTCGAATAACTGTAGGCGCATACCTAAAGGAAATTTGAAATACATCGTGAATACGGCAAAAAATTAAGCTAAAATATCATCACATATTATGATACCTTCATTATTTGCTTAACTTTTATTTTGGTTTCGCGAACACCAAGGACTCCGCCATTGTACTGCCACCCAGGTTATTTGGTATGCCTAGGGGAAACTGCGACGACTCCAAACGAAAGGCTTGAAAATGGCGTACATCATCGGCAACCACCCCGGTCTCGTATTCTGCAAGAATGCTATTAACAAATGAAGCGACACTGGCCGCGAAACATCCAGAAAAGTCGGCTACGGACCTGTCTACAGTGCCCATATAAAGATACCGATAAAGTGAACACGTGACGCCTCCACCTCTCTACTGGCTGGGTAGAACTCAGAGCGATATGGCTGGGCAAAACTGAAGTGAGAACTAAGTAACAAAGAGTAATAGACGCGACACATTATCCCCACGATACTATTTTAAGCCCGTCCGTTGTTATATGATCGCTTTTAGGCTGGTGGCCTTAAGACTACCGATGGACGGGTGTACGTGACGGTCGGC